GGCAGCGTTCGGAGTCAGCGTCGCAGGCAGACCGCCCAGCAGGGGGGGAGGTGGAGCTCTGGACATCCGGCCAAACGTTCATGAGCCACCGTCCAAGCCAGGCCGCTGGAGACACAGTTCCCGCGGGCCTGAGCCCCCCCTGGCCTGGGCCGCGGAGGAGGTCGCAAGGTCACCTTCGCGGAGGACGACACCCCCAGTGAAGATCCAGTGGCCCTGGCCCAATCGCAGGTCACTTTCTGGAAAAACTGGAAACCAGACGGAGAAGAGCACAAGTCGGCGATCGGCAAGCTCAAGCATGCCAAAGCGCAGGCCCTGTCAGCCAAGAGCCTGGAGCAGCAGGCGCAGTCACTGTCGGATCAGTTGCAGGTTGCGCGCCAGAAGCTCATGGCCCAGAAGAAGGAAGCGACGGAGTTTGTCCACGCCATCGTCGAGGCGAGTGAACGCCACGGCAAGCTGGTCGCGGAGATCGAGACCAACACCCAAGAAGTGCAGTCATTGGAGTCTCAGCACAATATGGCCGCCCAGGCGGCAGCGAACGAGGCATCCAAAGATGAGGATTTACTCACCACTCCCCAAGGCATGCTAGCAGCGCGCGTGCCTGAGGGCGGGGAGGCCCCACCAGAACTACGTGCTAAAGTTTCGGAGCTGGCGCAGCTGTTCGACAGCATGCAGCGCCGGCGCACCATGTTTGTGGAGTCACAGGCGAAAGGTGCTAGCAAAGGCAAGGGGTCCCAGCCAGCGCAGGAGCCTGATGACTTCCCCGCAGTTGGTGAACGTGCTGATGAGCCTACTAAAGCCATGCCCATCCCAGGTCAGCATGTCCCGACGCCGGTGGACGACAAGGAGCTGGAGGAGACCTCGGCCGCAGACGGAGTCGAAGCGGCCCCGATGGACGAGTCGCAGGGCCGCGTTCGTGCTGCTGCGGCTCTGGAGATGGGCGCCAACGGCATGGCCAAGATCCAGGGCGACGGTGGCCCTGAGGCCAAGAAGGCTAAGGCGGCTGCAGCGGCCGCCGCGGCCGCAAGTGAAGGCCCATCGCCAGGGTAACCAGAATGATAATCTAGCCACCGCCAGCGGATCTCGCTGGCCTGCCGTGCGCAAGTTTTTGCAAAACCCGCAGGCCAGAGAAGCCACCATCGTTTGTGCCTGTGCCCAGGAGTGTAAGTTAGCCGAAGGCGATAGCATTGCACAGCAGATGCAATGGCGCGCGCCTCAAGGGTGGCTGGCCTACGCAACTCCTGCTACGGTGAAAGCCATCTTTGAGCTGGTTTCAGAAACCGAGTTTGTGTTTTAGGAGGGTTGGGACCTGGGGGTTCAACCTCTGCTGGTTCCCTCGGATTGTGTGCCCGCTCGTTTGTCTGGAGAGACCCCTGTGATCCCTGGGCCCCCAAAATTCGTTTTGTGTTCTACGTATTTTCATGCCGCTGCGGGTCTCTCTGAGACCAGGGCAAATTTAAACCGCGTGGCCGCCAGTGGCCAATTTCAGGATGACTTAGTGTACTCAGTTAACTTTAATAGCCCCTCGCCGCATCGGCCCCAGAAGCTTCCCACTCACAGCCCAGTGGGCCCGCAAGTGCCAGAAGTGAGACGGCGCCAGACTGCTGCGAACGTGGATTATGCCTCGCAATTGATCGGTGATGCCCAACGGCCGCTCACCGACAGTCGACGTCGGTCCTGGACCACGTGCACTACACCCTGGCCCAGGACTTGGAAGCTACAATCAGTAGAAGAACCAACGCGCCCCTTAAACCCAGTAAGTTCCCCAAGGATCAGCCCCCTCAGGTTAATAAGGCCCCCGCGGTGGCCACGTGGGCTCGTATCGGAGCCAACGGGGTGGCGCTTGCGGGCCCGTCAGGAAGGTTGTGTAATCAAGTTCAGGAATTTCGGAGCTGTATTCAGGATTGGAATTTGCTTGAGTTTCAGGGCGCCCTGGACAGCCCGGAGGATTGCCCCGAGTTATGCTCCACCGTGGTGCCCCTCAAGGAGGGGCTTCAAGATGTCCGAGTAGCCGCAGGTTTGCTTCTTGCTGAATTCCAGGCCGGCGTTCTGAATCCGACGCTGGCGCAGCAAGTGTTAGACGATTTGCTGGGGCAGGTTGCCAAGCGCCTGCGCTGGGAGCTGGCTGGCCACTCTACTGTTGAATTCATCTACGAACACTCCCCTGGGTTACGCATGCAACAGCTCTACCAAAGATCAACAGTGCAGCGCCCAGGTCCCCTACGAGCTATCTAACAATTACTACTCTGTTGATGCTGATCGGCCTTGTCTTGCGCATCGTGCTGTTGAGTCTGGTTTTCCACGCTGTTTATTGCGTATCATTCTACCCCAGCTTGCCAGCGAACGCATCGTTTCATTGCAAGATTGTGCGGTCAGCGGCGGTAAACCTTGGAGGGGCGTTGCTGCCGGCAGCGTTGGGACCGCGAACCTTGTGCACTTGTATGCGTTCGCCCCCTTGGACATATGGACACAGGCCCATAGGCGCAGTAGGCTCGCGACGCTCATTGATAATATGTTGCTCCTGTGCCACGGCCGCGGTGTCAGCCTCGTCGTTAGCCAGATGAACACAGCCGCCAGACTGATGGCGAAGTGCATCAGCCACGAGCTTAAGTGCCAGATGGTCAGCAAGAAGACCCAGGTGCCAGCGTCTCACCAAGCCCTGCAGGACCAGCTCAGGTCGAAGAAGGGGCCTCTGGCAGGCCCGAACCCAGATCGTTCGGGATCCAACCTGGGACAGGAAGCTGGGGCTGGCCGCCCCCAGAGAAGTCGGGCGAAAATTCGGAAACCTTCGGGGCGTCTTGGAAAGATGCGTAAATGACCTAACAAGGTCCGCATGTCGAAACGTGCTGGGTTAACACTCACAAGCTGTGTAAGAACGGCCTTGAAGCGGCCGCTACCCCTGGAGTTGAGGTCGCTGACGCCAACGACGCTCAACTTGTTGCAGCTAGGTCGTAGTTTCTTGCTGCCGCGGGCCCGAGGCGCTCGACCCGCAGCAGCAGCTTGGCGTGGCTCATCCTCCAGGACCCCCTGTGGAAAGCTACCCTCGGTCCCGCCCTTAGGGTGCATAGTTTTGTTTGGGATGCGGACGCCCGCCCGCTCTTTGCCGTGGCCAGCTGCCCGCAGCTGTGGGTTTGGACGAAAGACCCCCCCCCCCCCCGATTGTTCCTAAATCGTGGGGCCCCTCCCGGGGCCCTCTCTGTGAGGCGTCGCCTTCGCTTAAACGTTTTGGTTGGAAGATCCAGGGGCCGCTTCCCTTTGTGACTACCTCAGGTCTTGAGTACTCACTCCCAGGACACATCCCCACCTTCCTCCACATGCCCATGGATTACGACTGGCATGGCCAGCTCGCCTCCGCGGCGGCCGACAATCTTGGCCACGCGGACGCTCAGTTAGATATCGCTGCTGCTCGGACTGCTCTCTCGTCAGACCTCACTGGACACCAGAATGGCACCCTACCCACCTACCTCAACCAAAGTATCTGGACCATGGTGAGAGCCACAACAGCAGGATGTGATGTTCCAGTCGGGCTCAGCCACGGAGTATTGCCCTACCCGAAAACTGAATAAATCAGAGCCACTCACTTCTCGGCTGCGGGGCTTCTGCGTTTAATTGGGCCCCTTCCCCAGGCCCCTCATTTGCAACTTGGGTTCCCGCTGGTTCCGGAGTTCCGTGGTGTGCCTCCTCCTGGCTCTCGTTTGTCTTTTGGGGAATTTTGGCGCGCTCACGTAGGAACCAACACACAATAGGCCTTCAGCGAGGGGGAAGTGTATAAAGATGGCAGTTGCACCAAGCACGCGAATTACGTGCTCAATGCTGCTGGCATTGCTGTTTTTGTATGAGAGACGGTGAAGTTTTTACCACTTTCAGAGGCCGCGACGGCCAGATGTTGTACTCTGACTGCAAGGGAGTGCGGAGGCTGCATCAGGGCACCGGGTACCCCCGTGTCCGCCGCTTGGCAGAAGGTAGATATGCGGAGGATTGTCTCACGAAGGCAGCTACGCACAAGGGCGTTCAGCCCAGACAAGATGAGATGTGCAATTTCGATGAATATATGAAGTTTGTTTCTAAGTATCTCAAGTATGTGGCGAAGGCTCTGGGAGAGTGGCTCGTGACCGCCCCCAGCAAAAACAAAGGTCTGTCCGCCCCGGAGAAGAACCTTACCCCCCCCCCACGGGTGTTGCCTCTGCCTTGTCGTCGTGGTCGCCGTCGCCGCTCGGGCATTCTCCTCCTCCTCCGTCGCCTGTGCCTCAAGAGGTCCCTCGTGAGCCCAGAGAGCCTTGGGGGTTTCACGCGTGGGCGGAAATTTCGCAGTATTATCGCTGCACTCTGTGTAGGGTAAAGACGAAGTCATTCAAACAGAGTGCAGGCTTGTGCGGCCAAGGAATGACCTGGCCACCACTAGCAGATGTCAAACCTGTGCATGATAATAAAGGCCAAGTTTTATTTTATTTTGAGCACCTTGAGCAGCCCACGGGTATTCGGGTGTGCCACAAGTGTGGATCCTACTCCGAGGGGTTGGGTCGAGGGTTCACTAGAGGCTGCGGCACTCGAGTGAGCCACCAAGGCGCGGCCACGCAGCTTGCCTGTGGCCAGGAAGGTCATGATCCCGAGGGCTCAAAGTCGTCCCCGATCATATATTAGACCCCACTATTTCCCAGGCCAGATTGGTAAGCGGAACGCCAACCAAGGTCTGAGGAGAGGAGGCACCAACGACTTTTTAGTCTGCCGTGCTCTCTCACGGCGGACACCGAACACTTCATCAGCCATGTGCGTGTCCTCCTCCTCCTCCTCCTCGTCCTCCTCGTCCTTTTCCTCCGCCTCCTCCTGCGCCTCCTCCTCCTTCTCCTCCTCCTCCTCGTCCTTTTTCTCCTCCTCCTCCTCCTCCTCCTCCTCCTCCTCCTCCTCCTCCTCGCCCCCCCCATCTCCTCCCTGCCCCCCTTCCTCCTGGAGGAAGCTTCTGCTCGCCAGCTGTCCAGCTGGCCCCCCCCCCCTGGGCGCCCCAGGCAGGCCGGCTGCCTGGCCGCCGTGCAGCAGCAGCTGCCGAGCCCCTACGCCGTGCTCGGCCTGGGGCTCGGGGAGCAGGACGCGGGCGCCATACGGCAGGCTGCCCGGCGGGGGCGGAGTGTTTTTTGTTTCTGGTGTGTGTGTGTGTGTCTGTGTGTGTGTCTTGTGTGTATGTGTTGTGTGGGTGTTTGGGGCCGTGTATATGTGTCTGTGTATATGTGTATCTGTGTATGTGTGTCTGTGTGTCTGTGTGTCTGTGTGTCTGTGTGTCGTGTGTCGTGTGTGTGTGTGTGTATGTCGTGTGTGTGTGGTGTCTGTGTGTCTGTGTGTGAGTGAGTGAGTGTGTGTGTGTGTGTGTCTGTGTGTCTGTATGTTTGTGTGTGTGTGCGTGAGGGGTGCGTTGGGGAGACCGGGAGGCGGGAACGGAGGGGGGGGCAGCAAGTGAGTGGGAGGAGGCGGGGTGGAATCTGATTTGCAAGAGGGCGCTTGAAGGAACAGGGGTTGGCGGGTGGGTGGGAGTGATTGAGGAAGGTGAGAGAGGAGGGATAAGGCGAATGAGGGTGAGAAGAGGATGAGGGGTGAGGAATGCGAGGGGTCGGAAAGGGGGAATCAGGGGTAGCGGGATGAGGGTGAATTGTAGAATTTAGTGGATTAGGAGTGAGGGGGGAGGACGAGGGAGGCGGAAATAGCTAGGAGGGCAGAGGAGGGAGGGAGGAGGATAGGAGGTTACGTGAGGAGGGACATCGTCGAGGAGGGTGAACGGATGCTGGTGGAGCGTGGACATGGAGGAGGACGTGGGTGGGTGGATGCTGGATTTTGCGGGGGGGGGAGGGTGAGGTTTTGGCGTCCGACCCCTCGACGTCTGGGCTCTGGGAGGGCGCCGCCAGAACCGATCCACTGCATGCGCGCACAGCTCTGCAGAGTGGGGAGGGTGGGAGGGATAGGGAGGGAGGGGGTAGGAGTGGGCGGGATGGAAGGGCAGGGGAGGGGAGCGGATGGGGGTCCAGGGCACGCCACACCCCTCTATCGCTCCCCCCTCGCCGCCCTCTTCCCGCGCGATCCCCCGCTTCGGAGGGCGTGGTGAGCCGTGGTCAGTTCTGGCGGGCGCGTCGGTGGATGCAATTTCAGAGTGCTGCTTGGGCGCAAGAGGCGGGAGGGTGGGCGGTCTCTTCCTCCTCCTCCCCCTCCTCCTCCGCCTCCTCCTCCTCCTAGTGACTTGGCCATCCCGTCACCTCGCCTGGGTTGTGTTCCAGATGCCCTGGAGAACCTTTATACAGGGTCCCTTCGGGCCTCTTGGGGGGGCTCAGGGGGGGTCTGGGATCACGATGGAGTGGCTGACTTCCATCGACGCGGCGGTGGCTCGCTTTGTAGGCCCCTGGTGGGGCCGTTTTTGGTTTATCTTGGGCTGACATTGGTGTCCTTCCTGGCCTCTCCTTGGGTGCTTCTTGGGTCGTCTTGGGCGCTTTTGAATGTGGAACGGCGAGAGTGCCAAGCTCGTACAAAATTCGCAGACGTCGGACGATTCTGGCGTCTTCGGCTGGCCCTCAGGGTCTCCAAGACGGCTCGAGAGACCCCCGAGAGTGCCGAAGTTGGCCGAGGCTGACCCCGAGGACTTCTTCAGGGGGCTCGCAGATGTCCCACAGGTGGCCAACGTGGCCCCAGGATCGACCGAGCCGCTCGTGTTCGCGTGCGTCGGCCGGCCCAGCCCCCGGACGACAGCCTCCTTCCGCGCACGTGCGATGAACGAATAATACTAATAATACTAGCAATGATAATATTAATATCAAATATTAGTACTAATACTAATAATGATAATAGTAATAATAAATATTAATAATAATAATAGTAATAGTCATATTAATAGTACTAATATGAATACTAATACTACTAACAACAATAATAATACTAGTAATAATACTATTAGTAATACTAATACTAAGAATAGTATTAATGCTAATACTAATACTAATACTAATAATAATAATGATAATGCTAATATTAATAATAATACTACTAATACTAATAATAGTAATAATAATAGTAATAATAAACATAATACATATTGTAATAATAGTAATAATAAGCATACTACTTATACTAATAATAATAATGATAATCATAATAATAAGAAGAATAATAATGGTAATAATAATATTAATAATAATAATAATAATAATAATAATAATAGATGATAATAATAATAACAATAATAATAATGTTAGTAGTAATTTGAGGGAATTTCTGTGGAACTACCGTCATCCTCACCCCCAGCGCGGGGAGCAGAGGAGCCCAGAGCGGCCTCCGGCACCGTTTCCGGACAGATCTGGTGGATCCGCCGACGAATCCCAAACCGGCGCCCTCGCTTGAGACATCCTCACAAAACCGGCCCCGGGGGCGGTGCAGAGCGGCCTCCGGCACCGTTTCCGGACAGATCCGGTGGATCCGCCGACGAATCCCAAACCGGCGCCCTCGCTTGAGACATCCTCACAAAACCGGCCCCGGGGGCGGTGCCCAGAGGAGCCCAGAGCGGCCTCCGGCACCTTTTCCGGACAGATCCGCTGGATCCGGTGACGAATCCCAAACCGGCGCCCTCGCTTGAGACATCCTCACAAAACCGGCCCCGGGGGAGGTGCCCAGAGGAGCCCCGAGCGGCCTCCGGCACCGTTTCCGGACAGATCCGCTGGATCCGCTGGATCCGCTGGATCCGGTGACGAATCCCAAACCGGCGCCCTCGCTTGAGACATCCTCACAAAACCGGCCCAGGGGGAGGTGCCCAGAGGAGCCCAGAGCGGCCTCCGGCACCGTTTCCGGACAGATCCGCTGGATCCGCCGACGAATCCCAAACCGGCGCCCTCGCTTGAGACATCCTCACAAAACCGGCCCCGGGGGAGGTGCCCAGAGGAGCCCAGAGCGGCCTCCGGCACGGTTTCCGGACAGATCCGGTGGATCCGGTGGATCCGCCGACGAATCCCAAACCGGCGCCCTCGCTTGAGACATCCTCACAAAACCGGCTCCGGGGGAGGTGCCCAGAGGTGCCCAGAGCGGCCTCCAGCACCGTTTCCGGACAGATCCGGTGGATCCGGTGACGAATCCCAAACCGGCGCCCTCGCTTGAGACATCCTCACAAAACCGGCCCCGGGGGAGGTGCCCAGAGGAGCCCAGAGCGGCCTCCGGCACCGTTTCCGACAGATCCGGTGGATCCGGTGACGAATCCCAAACCGGCGCCCTCGCTTGAGACATCCTCACAAAACCGGCCCCGGGGGAGGTGCCCAGAGGAGCCCAGAGCGGCCTCCGGCACCGTTTCCGGACAGATCCGGTGGATCCGGTGGATCCTCCGACGAATCCCAAACCGGCGCCCTCTCTTGAGACATCCTCACAAAAACAGCCCCGGGGGCGGTGCCCAGAGGAGCCCAGAGCGGCCTCCGGCACCGTTTCCGGACAGATCCGGTGGATCCGCCGACGAATCCCAAACCGGCGCCCTCGCTTGAGACATCCTCGCAAAACCGGACCCGGGGGAGGTGCCCAGAGGAGCCCAGAGCGGCCTCCGGCACCGTTTCCGGACAGATCCGGACAGATCCGGTGGATCCGCGCCCCTGGGGAGGTGCCCAGAGGAGGAATGAGGAGGAGGAGGAGGAGGAGGAGGAGGAGGAGGAGGAGGAGGAGGAGGAGGAGGAGGAGAAGATGACGGAGCTGTGGGGTGGAGGAGGACAGACGGAGGCAACAGAAGGATGGAGGAGGAGGAGGAGGAGGAGGAGGAGGAGGAGGAGGAGGAGGAGGAGGAACCTCATCCTCACCCTCGCCAACAAGCGCACGCACCTTCTATCAACCGCAGAGCGGCCGGCTAGTAATTAATAGAGCCGGGCGAGCCCTCGGCACAGAGCCGTGGCGAGGGGCTGCCGGGCAGGCCCTGGCCTTCGGGTCGGGCCGCTGGCCAGGCCAGGCGCCACACCTCGGGGGCCCCCGGGCGGTGCGGTAACCACGCCGCGTGACGAGCCAGCGGGGACTCGGGGGTGGCCGCGCAAGTCTGGGACTCGGGCCGCTCTCCGAAGGCGCCTCGGGCTGCCAGGGCCTCCAGGTTCCCCAGCCCGTGCGGTGGCAGACCGTGCGGTGGGGCTCTTCGGGACTTCGAGGTCACCGCACGCTCAGTCACCGCACCGTGTTGGGACCTCTCCAAACCTGGGCGTCCATGCGCCCTGCTGGTCGCGCCGCCCACCCGCCCATCGGCGGCTGTTCGAGGGGGTACGGGATGCCGTCGCGTGTGACACATGATGTCTCCAGGCTGGTGGTGATGATGACGTCGTCGTTGTCGACGATAACGATGTCGATGCCGCCGCCGCCGACGACGACGACTGCTGCTGCTGAGGGGGGGGAGACGCAGATGGAGGAGGAGGAGGAGGAGGAGGACGAGGAGGAGTAAAAGAAGAAGGGAAAGGGTGGCCGTCGCACGTGACACCTCTCGTCTTCATGATTGTGAAGGCCTTGCGGCTGGCGCCGCCGACCCAGAAGGACGACGACGACGACCACGACGACAAGGACAAGAACGAGCTGATGACCCTGTCACAGGCTCGGGACATGGGGCGGGCGGTGGAGGGGGAGGCGGAAGAGGCGGAGGGGGAGGTGGATGAGGAGGGGGAGAAAAGAGGGGGAGGGAGAGGGGGAGGAGGAGGAGGAGGCGGAGGAGGAGGAAAAGGAGGAGGAAAAGGAGGAGGAAGAGGGAGAGGAGGAAGAAGAGGAGGAATAGGAGGTAGATGAGGAGGATGAGCAGGATGAGGAGGATGTGGAGATGGAGGAGCAGGATGAGGAGGAGGAGGAGGTCCCGCTCTCTTGCGCGCCACATTGCATCCGCGCTCCCTCCTACTACCTGGCAGGGATTCTTGCGTGCCGTGCGGATCTACCCGCCGCAAACGCACCCCGCGGAGTTCGTGTGCGTGGTGGAGGCGGGGTGTGGCGGTGGCATGGGCAGTGGTAGAGATGACGGCTGATGTGCTGCCCCCCTATCCAATTTGATGTGCTGCCATGCTGTCTTTGGTTTTGAAGCCAGGAAGCTCTAATTTTTCTGATCAGGCATTATATGTCGCTATGGCTGCGATGTTTTGAGCCAGCACCTTCTATTATGTTGGTGTTGTCTTCTTCGTCGTCGTCGTTGTTGTTTGTTGTTGTCGTCGTCGTCATCGTCGATACAGCTCGATGTGCAGCCCGCTTTTCTCCACGCCAGCGCCGCCGATGCATCGCCGACGTCGCCGATGCATCGCCGATGCATCGCCGATACATCGGCGATGCATTGGCGATGCGTCGCGACCCTTCGATCCCATCTACTCGGACCCCATCTGGGAGGCCTCTAGTTTGGCACATTGTGGGCGCCCGCAACATTTTAGCATTGTCGCGGTGCCACCAAACGCGCACTGGTGAAAGGGCTGGCAGTTCGGTAAGGACGGTACACAGTTGTTTTTGTGTTTGTTGTTGTTTTTTTTTTTTTGTTGTGTTGTTGTCATGGTTGTTTGTTTGTTGCTGCTTGGATGTTGCTGTTGCTTGTTCTGTGCTATTGCTGTTGCTGTTGCTGTTGTTGTTGTTGTTTGTTGGTGGGTGGGTGGTGGTGTTTGTTTGTTGTTGTGGTGTTGAGTTGTTGTTTTGTTGTTGGTGGTGTTGTTTTTTGTTTCTGTTGTTGTTTCTGTTGCTGTTGCCTGTTTCTGTTGTTGTTGTTGTTGTTGGTGGTTGTTGTTGTTGTTGGTTGTTGTCTGTTGCTGTTGCTGTATGTTGTTTGTTTGTTGTTGGTGGTGTTGGTGTTGTTGTTGTTGTTGTTGAAACATTATTACTTCTAAAGAATAATTGATTGTTGGGGCCCCTGGTCACGGCGCTCTCAGCCGCGCCCTAGGCCCGCGGCCGCAGCCATGTTTTTCATCATTTTCCTGAGAAGTCTCCGCAACACGGGTTGGTCCCTGTATTCGTTGTTTTGTTCCCCCCCGCTTTCCCTTGCAAAAAACAATATAAAATGACATTCCTTGTTCTAACATAACCAAACTTCAAGAACCCCTTGCAAAAAATAAGGTAAAGTGGACACTCGCGCGCGCAAGACGAAATCCTTCCAAAACCTTAGTTTTCGTAGCGATTTTAACATAAAAACATCAAAAAAACAATGGTTTGTTTTTATAAAAAAATGTCAAACTTTCATCCCGCGCGCTCTTGCGGATTCGTAGGAAACCCAACACTTTTTAAACATTTCTGTCAAACGGGCTTTTGCGAGCAACTTTTTCGAACTTCTGCGACAACGGTTGCGCACCTGCCAGGGCCATCATCCCTGTCAAATAATACCATCGGGACACATTCGTTTTTTCTTCGCGCGCGCACGCCGTCGTCGTCGGCCGCGGGGCCCTGAATAGTAGCCACGGTCGTCCGCATGCCACGAAGTGAAGTGTCCGCACGTCATAGGGCGGGAAGCTGGGTGTGGGTGGTGGCGAAGAGTCGTTTGGAAATTTGGTAGAGCTTGAACCGGCCCCCCCACAAAGTGGGGGTATTGCCCGCCTCCTATGAAAACCCTGGCACTGGTGAGAACGGAGTGTCCCCACGTGCTAGTAATTGTTGTTGCTGTTGTTGAACATTATTAATTCTAAAGAATAATTATTGTTGGGACCCCTGGTGCACGGCCCCCCTGCGCCGCCTAGGCCGCAGCTACATTTTCATCATTTTCGTGAGGAAGCCTCAGGTAATTCGATGTGATCAAGATCCGGTTGTTTTGTTCCCCCCCGCTTTCCCTTGCAAAAAACACTATAAAATGACATTTCTTGTTCTAATATAATCAAATTTCAAGAATCCCTTGCAAAAAATAGGTAAAGTGGACATTCGCGCGCGCAAGACGAAATCCTTCCAAAACCTTAGTTTTCGTAGCGATTTTAACATAAAAACATCAAAAAACCAATGGTTTTTCAAAAAAAAATTGTCAAAATTTCATCCCGCGCGCTCTTGCGGATTCGTAGGAAACCCAACACTTTTTAAAGATTTCTGGCAAACGGGCTTTTGCGAGCAACTTTTTCACGTGCTTCGAACTTCTCCAACAACCGTTGCGCACCTGCCAGGGCCATCATCCCTGTCAAATAATACCATGCGGGACACATTCGTTTTTTCTTCGCGCGCGCACGCCGAAATCTTCAAAAACCATTGGGTTTCTTAAGAATTTTAGCACCGCGCATCATAAAATCACACAAATCGCACCGTAGGTCCTCGAAAAACACCTGCACGAATTTTTAAAATGTCTACCCGCGCGCGCTGTCCGAATCCCACAAAACCAATGGTTTTTCAACATTTATGTTACATGAGCTCGCGCGAGCTACTTTTTCTTGTTCTAACATAATCAAATTTCAAGAATCCCTTGCAAAAAAATAAGGTAAAGTGCACATTCGCGCGCGCAAGACGAAATCCTTCCAAAACCTTAGGTTTCGTAACGATTTTAACATAAAAACATCAAAAACCAAATGGTTTTTCAAAAAAAAATGTCAAAATTTCATCCCGCGCGCTCTTGCGGATTTGTCGGAAACCCAACACTTTTTAAACATTTCTGTCAAATGGGCTTTTCCGAGCAACTTGCGCTTGTGCTTGTACTTGTGCTTGTGCTTGTGTGTGTGTGTGTCCAGTGTACGGCGGGGTCCAGGTGTCCAGGTGGGGCGCCGGTGTCCCTCCGAGCACAACGTCGGAAAACGGTACAGGTGTCCAGTGTTGGAACAGGGGGATAAGTCGTATACTAAGCTAGCTTCCACAAAATGTTACCACAACAAGTCATTGTACCCATGCGCCAGTGTAGTAGCCAAGGTCGTCCGCAGGCCACGAAGTGAAGTGTCCGAACGTCATGGGGCGGGAAGCTGGGTGTGGGTGGTGGCGAAGAGTCGTCCTAAACTTGGTAGAGCTTGAACCGGCCCCCCCACAAAGTGGGGGTATTGCCCGCCTCCTATGAAAACCTGGCACTGGTGAGAACGGAGTGTCCCCACGTGCTAGTAATTGTTGTTGTTGTTGTTGTTGTTGTTGTTGTTGTTGTTTGAAACATGTTTATTCTAAAGCATAATTCTTGTTTGGGACCGCCTAGTGCACGGCCCCCCCGCCCCCGGCAAAACACACAAACCCACAAAACCCCACCACCCCGCTGCCTAGGCCGCATCTACATTTTTCATCATTTTTCCGCGAAAGCTTCAGAAAAAGGTGGGAATGGGGTCCAGAATCCGGTTTGTTTTGTTGTAATCCTTTTCCCCTGCAAAAAACACTATAAAATGACATTTCTTGTTCTAATATAATCAAATTTCAAGAATCCCTTGCAAAAAATAAGGTAAAGTGGACATTCGCGCGCGCAAGACGAAATCCTTCCAAAACCTTAGTGTTCGCAGCGATTTTAACATAAAAACATTTTTTTTTTAAAAAAAACAATGGTTTTCCAACAAAAAATTGTCAAAATCTCATCCAGCGCGCTCTTGCGGATTCGTAGGAAACCCAACACTTTTTAAACATTTCTGTCAAACGGGCTTTTGCGAGCAACTTTTTCGAACTTCTGCGACAACGGTTGCGCACCTGCAGGGCCATCATCCCTGTCAAATAATACCATGCGGGACACATTCGTTTTTTCTTCGCGCGCGCACGCCGTCGTCGTCGGACGCGGGGCCCTGAATAGTAGCCACGGTCGTCCGCATGCCACGAAGTGAAGTGTCCGAACGTCATAGGGCGGGAAGCTGGGTGTGGGTGGTGGCGAAGATTCGTTTGGAAATTTGGTAGAGCTTGAACCGGCCCCCCCACAAAGTGGGGGTATTGCCCGCCTCCTATGAAAACCCTGGCACTGGTGAGAACGGAGTGTCCCCACGTGCTAGTAATTGTGTTGTTGTCATTATTTCTTGTCTTCAGAATAATTTATTGTTGGACACCTGGTTGGCCGACCCCCCCCGCCCCGCCCTAGGCCGCAGCCACATTTTCATCATTTGCCTGAGGAGTCTCAGGCAAAACTATGTCGATGACCCTGGATCCGTTGTTTGTGCCCCCCGGTTTTTTCCCTTGTCAAAACGATCATAAAATGAAACTTCTTCGTTCTTACTTGTCAAATTTGCAAGAATCCCTTGCAAAAAATAAGGTAAAGTGGACATTCGTGCGCGCAAGACGAAATCCTTCCAAAACCTTAGGTTTCGTAGCGATTTTAACATAAAAACATCAAAAACCCAATGTTTTTTTAAGAAACAATTGTCAAAATGTCCTTCCGCGCGCGTTGTCCGAATCCTACAAAACCAATGGTTTTTCAACATTTATGTTACATGAGCTCGCGCGAGCTACTTTTTCTTGTTCTAACATAATCAAATTTCAATAATCCCTTTCAAAAAATAAAATAAAGTGGACATTCGCGCGCGCAAGACGAAATCCTTCCAGAACCTTAGGTTTCGTAGCGATTTCAACATAAAAAACATCAAAAACCCAATGGTTTTTCAAAAAAAAATGTCCAAATTTCATCCCGCGCGCGCTGTCCGACTCCCACAAAACCAATGGTTTTTCAACATTTATGTTACATCAGCTCGCGCGAGCTACTTTTTCTTGTTCTTACATAATCAAATTTCAACATCCCTTGCAAAAAAAAAGTAAAGTGGACATTCGCGCGCGCAAGACCAACAAAAAACACGACGATCTCAGGAACTTGCCCCAAACATGTGACCAACTCCGCTCTCTCTGTCTCTCTCTCTGTCTGCTCTCTGTCTCTCTCTCTGTCTGTCTGTGTCATGTATTGTATGTCACAATTGCAGGATGCTGGGCACACGCGCGCCCCGAATAAGTGACCAAGTTCTGTGGGTGTGTACCCCACGCCAGTGTAGTAGCCACGGTCGTCCGCACGCCACGAAGTGAAGTGTCCCAACGTCATAGGGCGGGAAGCTGGGTTTGGGTGGTCGCGAAGAGTCGTTTGGATATTTGGTAGAGCTTGAACTGC